ATACATACATACACACACACATATATTGGTTATTTTTTCCCCCATTCTCCTGCCCTCCATTTAAGCCCTCCATCCCTTCCTCTTTACAAAGACTTTGTTTCCATTTTTTCCTTTTCTCACACTTATTCCTTTCTCTTTTTTACCTTTCCCCTATCCCTCCCACTTTCCTTAACCCCTTTGGACCTTTTCTTCCTATTTCACATTATCTGTTATACATTTTGATCCTTACTTACAGTTTCAGTTTTTCACACCAGAGAAACTATTTGGTATTTACACATGTGAACAATTCTTTATTGTAGCTGCCTTCAAGAAATGTCTTTACCAAATTTGAGATTTCCATTAGTTAGAATAGGACTAGTATGTACTCAAGGCCTGGAAAGGGTAAATAATAGTACTTAACAAACAGCTAGGTGCTTTCCTTGTCTCATAGAATTTTTCCTGTACATTCTCTGCAGTTAGACTAATTTGGGCTCATTGAATCAAAGTGTAGACATTGGTCAAGGAAGATGGGTACATAACATAAAACTAACCTGCTCTTTGGCAGGTTGGTACAGAGACTACTAACAGTTTCTTTTAGTTTTTTTAAAAATTAATTTTCTGGTACATTTAATGTGTACAGTATAATGACATTCATTGTTGGAAATTTGTACCTTTACATAGTCAATCTTGTTTCTCTCCCCATTCCCCTGCCCTCCCTTCAATCCCTCCCTATCTCTCCCTCCCTATCTCTAAAGACTTTGTTTCCATTATTTTTCATTTTCTCATATTCCATTACCTAACATTTTGTTTTATAAACAGCATTGCAGAGAAGAGAAACCTGCTTAGGAGCCAGTGGAGGTCATGAATGCCTCAGTCATTTACCAGATATATTATTCTGGGGAAATCATTGCTCACTCTCATCTGTTACATTCTGTTTTACACCAGTTCTGCTACTGGTTCTCTCAAGTTTTATCTTTAGAATATGGTTCTTTCTTTTCATCTTACCTTACATAAGTCTACATTATTACTATCTTTTGTTGTCTGTAGCTCTAAAATAATCTGCTTTTTTTTCTTGATTCTATTACCACTTCTTTATTGAGTAGTCAGTGATCTTTTAAAAATGTTATGTCCTGTCACTCTGTCCAAAGTCTTCTCATGGCTGAAACTTGGAAGAAAACCTAAATTCTTAATTATGACCTACAAGAGGTAATCTGCATACCCTGACTCCTGTTATGTTTATCAGAAACAATGGGTGTGTTGGGTAAGTGGAGTGATGAGGTAATACTAACTCTTAGGGAGCATTTGGAAATGGTGTGAAACCATTGTTTTAATTGTTTCAGTTATTAGTTAATAGGAGTCGTCCTTTAGGGTCTGGACCAGGGTTGGTAAATGTTCTGTAATGTGTTGTTCAGCTCATGTTTCATCTCATTGCCTGATAACATACTAGGTTTTCATTTATTTATTTATTTTTGTTTTGTTTGTTTGTTTTTTTGAGACAGGGTCTCACTATATAATTGAGACTGACCTAGAACTCACTATGTAGCCCAGGCTGGTCTCGAACTCAGAGCAATCTTCCTACCTCAGCTTCCCCAGTGTTGGGATTACAGGCGTGCATTGCCATGCCTGGCTCATTCTAGGTTTGAGACCACATTCTCCTTGAGCCTCAGTTTTGACATACTGTATGTGAGAATATAGTGCCTACTTTGAGGTTGTTGTGGTAGACATAAGGTTTGTAAAGCACATGGTGCACAATAAATAGCTCTTTATAAGTTGTAGCTGCTGCTCAGCTTTCTTTGCTTAGAAGTAGTTATGCGGCGCCTTTGGGAGGGTCAGGGGAAGAGTCCATTTAATCTGATCTAATCTGACAATCCCAAATCAGATTTGAGGTCTATGCCCACCCACATAAATTAAGGCACAGTGATGTTTCACTCCAGAGCTCACCCAGCCCTCTCACAGACCCTGGAAAGCCTGGCCTACTGAGAGATTCCTCTTTAAAGACTGAGTGCAGGAAAACAGCCAAAACTGTGGGAAGGTAGTGACTCCCCACGCTCAGCGCTGCTTTGCAGAAAGGAGACGCTCAGCCTCCTCCCGCCCGCCCCTTTCCCCTCCTGCCCCCGCCCCTTCTCCCTTCTTGCGGGCGGGTGCCTTGGCTACGCTGCTGGGGCGCAGGCGTGCGGCACCTTGGGAACTGGGCGGGTGGTTACGCTGCCCGAGCCGGCCAAATCGAATCCAGCCAAGCTGGTAGAGCCCCGGCTTTGTCGAACTCTGCTAGGCGGGGAGAGGTGGTGTTCTGCGACGGAAACAATCCCCAGAGATGTCTGGGCCGGCTCCCTGCACCAGGTAATTAATAGCACGCTGCCCTGGGCTTGCTCAGCTGGGTTGTGTTCTTTTGGGGGGTCTCTGCCAGCTTCCAGGTGTGGTGAAGCGAGGCGTGTGTATCACATTCCTCTTACCTTAAGGGGCACTTAATGAGGGAAGGAGCACAGGGTGGAACCCTCAGATGAGTCTACCCAGGCAGGGCTAGGCCTGCACTGGAATCAGAGCTCTGGCCAGAGAAGGGTATTAAGAGGAAGCTGGGCTTTGGGGGAAACTGCTCTGCTTCAGGGGTCCTCTGCCTGTATTGAGCTTTTTGCTTGGTGTGATGCTTTCTTTCCTCAGCCTTGGCTTAGCTGCTGGCCAGCTGGGACCATGGGACTTGTTAAGAGCTGAGTGAACTAGGAGGTAGGAGACCTGGGGCTGGTCCTGTTGAGGCAGACTCTGGGCCTCAGTTTCCTTATCTACAGTTTTGGGCTTGACACTCCATTTGTGATGAACTCTGGCTTCCCTAGGTTGCCACAATATCTTTTGGAAAGGTATTCCAGAAAAAGGATTAGAATGGGCCACGGAGGTTCCCCTCAGTCCCGTAGCAGGCAGAGGCTAGCTGGGAAAGCAGACCTTGGTGTCCTGTCTCCCAACCAGTCTGCTGTATGGCACCTTCCTGGTCTGTTTAGAAACCATTAACTTCACTGGCAAGACAGAGGCTGAGAATGCTGCTGGTTATTTTAGTGTTGTGGGGTAGGTGTTTAGATGTCGGGAGAGGGAGGGGATGAGAAAAAGTAGGCCAAAGAATCTTAACGTTTTGTTTTTCCTCGAACCGGCCTATTCTTCAACACTGTACTTAGAAAGCTGCTTTAAATGAGGCTGTCGTCTTTGGATCACTTTTTAACTCTTAAGTAAATGACAGACCTTGAGGCTGTATAATATGCTAATCACTATAATTCCTCCCTTTATTATCTGGCACCAAGAAACTCACGACAGACCTGCTACCAAACTACCTCGGTTATTTCCGCCCCCCATTTTTCCATGACTTATTTGTCCTCTTTCCTTTTCTTCTTCCTGATAATTTTCCTGCCCCCCCCATTCTGTTTCCTCTTTCTCCCTTTTCCTGCTCTCCTCATGCTTTCCTTTTCTCTGTTTCCATAACCAGTTTTTTTCTTCCCACTCTTGGGTTCTCTTCTTCTTAGTTAGACTTTCTTCTTTTTTTCTCTTAGGATATTGGTTCTAATGCTTTCTTATTTATTAGTAAGTTACTGGTTGTTAGGGACCTTGCTATAGTGTTTGTCTGAGTCCAAACATTGTTTTATACTAACTTTGCTTTTAGCTTTCACTTAAATTCTCTCTCTCCCAGGTTCCAGTCTCTCTCCTTACTGTCTTGATGCCTTGTCTTGCCAGTAAGCAGTCCTCCTTCCTAAATTGTTCCCCACCTTCCCTTGGAGAGGGGATGGGGGAGCAGGTGGACAGTAGAGAAAAGCAAAGATGAGAATTGGGGTCTTGAGAAGCTTGAGAGCAAGAGTGTCAATTAGGGCAGGGCAGAGGCTCAAATTCCTTTCAGTGAATGGGTAGCTGGGAGATGGTCAGTGACCCGTTAGTGGCTCTGAGGCAGTACTGACCTGCAGGTTGGCTGACCTGTGAGCCTATTAGGAGGAAGGAGAACAGCGGGGATGAGGCAGAGCGAGAAGAGAGAGACCTAGAGGAGAAGACAGTGGTCCTTTGAAGAAGAGTGCTTCCTGTGCAAGGTAGGGTCCTTTGGGGCTTGGGGTGTGTGTTGGGGAAAGTTGTGGTGGGTAAAGGGGCCATATAGGTTCATTCTCTTCCTCTCCAAAGTTTAGCCCTTTGGACTGGTTTATTTTCTCTTAGCAGACTTTTCTTGAGACCTGTCTCAGTCTGTGAGAGTGAGAGGAAGCAGAGATGAGAATAGCAGAGTTGCTGTTTTTTATTGGCATTCACTGTCTAGAATATGTATTTATACAAAAAGCTTTCAATATGGCATTATTAACCACTTAACAGTTTACTCTGGGCGTCACTGGAGCAGTGTGTTTGTTTACGTACTGACTATCTGGAGCATCACTAGGGTAGGTATCATTTCAACCAGTAAATTCTTGTATTGAATAAATTTGATAAAATTGTTATTTTTATATTTCCTGTTACATTGTAAAAATTAATGAAAAATACACAATTTTTGCTCAACCTGTATTTAAATAATTGGACTGGTAAGTATTTGAACATTTTCTGAATCATCTATTCCGTGCTAGTTATGAATCTAAATACTGGAAAACGTGAAAGTCAGACTGAGTTGCTCTCCATAAAGCAGGTCAAGGAGTGTAGTATCTCATATGTAAGTATTGTAGAGGGAAACACAAAGCTATGATAATGTGAAGGAGAAAATTTTAGATTCACCAAGTAAGTGGCAAAGTTTGGACCTAAACTTGTTTTCTCTAATTGTAACTATTTGCTGATACCATGTTATTTCCTGACTGTGTATGTGCATATAGTATGCAGAGAGTTTCTTATATTCTTTTTTCTGGTTACTTTTGCAGCTAGAATGTAGGTATTAGTGAAACGAGAAAAGAACCGTTCCTTGTGATAGGGCACTGTGCTATGACCAATACAATACTCATTACCTTGGAAAAGAAATAGACTTTGTCCATGTTAGCTTCCAGTTCCAGGAGTGGCTTGGTGCTGAGTTTCCTCTAGCCATTTGATCTCTTCTGCCCCTTTCTCTTCCCTCTATTTTCTTAAAATTGATTTCTGTCAGGTCATAAAGTCCTGAGATGAGATGTAGCTAAATAGATATTTTACTTTTGTGGCCCTCTGTACTTCCGTAGGGGTTTAACACCTCATTGGGTTTGTAAGGATCAAATGAATAATAAAAGTGTGAAAATGCTTCATAAAGTACTGTAGTGTTGTTATGGTGATGGTTCTTGGATACATCCTCAAACCTTGAAAAAAAAAAGGCTCAGATGTTATAGCCTGAAAACCTAGGGATGCCACTCATTAGTTAAAACTGAGATTCAATTCTCAGCGAATAAAGGAGAACAAGGGGGCTAACAGACAAAGTTTAAAGGCTCAAAATGGAAGCCAAGAAGTTACAAATGTGCTTTATTGAAGGCCAGATAGTGGCAAGCAGAAACTATTATTTTTAGTGATGCCTTGTGGTATACCAAGAAAAGAAGGGGGAGGGAGGAAAGGATTAAGTGAGTTCAGTTTGAAGCCTTGTTCTTCCATTTACTAGTTAGATTGGATGGCTGTCTCTCTAGGTTTCATATATAAAATAGAAGATACTTCTGTCTACCCTGAAGGATTACTATAAAGTTTTAAAGTAATGATATAAAAAAGAAAAATAATTATATAGTAAATACAATAGCTATACTTATTTTTATCTTGCAAAAATAAATTGCGAAGTCACTCCTTGAGAAAGTCTTCCTTGACTCCTAGGCTATCACTTGCCCCTCTTCTAGATTCATGCAGCACCTTTATGCTTCTCTCAGCACTCAGTAGGAGCACTTGCCATAATTGTATTGTGGTTTATTATCTGTCTCTTCTATTAGTCTGTTTTCTTTCTTTTTTCCTCCCTCCCTCCCTCCGTTCCTCCCTCCCTCCCTTCCTTAGGGGCAGAAACATGATCTAGTAAATTTTAAGAGTCCTGAGTGCCTACTCTTGTGAGGTCCTATTTAGTTGCTACAGATACATTGATAAATATAACAGACTTAGTTCCTACTTTATGAAGCTTACTGTATGTTGAGGGAGAACTATAATCAAGTATAAGTAAAACTCATGATACAGGCTGTGAAAACTGAGATGTACATTTGGTGTGTTAGGTTTAACTGTATATTAGAAAGCTCACCTGTATTGCTCATCAGTATCTCAAACCTAAAAGTAATGCAAGTGGAGTTGTCTAATAGATGGTTATTAGTCTCAGAGAGAGCCATTTGGTCAAGAGATAGAAGCTTGGGCATCATCAACCACAATGGGAGGTAATGAGATAATCTTGGAGAGAGTATAGTATAGGAGTAAAGGAGGTCCTGAGCTTTAAACATGTAGAGTATAGCAGAAGGAGAGGTCTATAAAGGAGAGAAGAGTACACCGAAAGATAGAAAGCCAGGTGAATATGCTTCCCCAGAAGCCAAAAGAGTAGAGTATTTGAAAATGAAGGAAGGGAGGTTAGTTATGTTGAGTATTACTGAGGGTTATGTAATGTAAAAACAGAATGTGACTTTTATTTGGCAAGATGGAGATGGTTGGTAATCTTGATAGGTCTACTTTTGGTAAAATGGTAGTCTTTTGTCTAACAGGGGAGGTGTGAAGACAGTTTAAATAGACAACTCTTGAGATTCTTTGCTTGTTTAGAAAGGCGTAGACATAATGGTGTTTGGAGAAGACTGTGGGTTTCGGGAGAGGGATTGTGCAGGTGAGTGTGTGTATGTGTGTTTGTTTGAATAGGAGACACTGCAATGTGTTCATATTTACCCAGTATTTTTGAGTGAGGCCAAAAATTTAAACATCATCTTGAATTTTACTTTCTCTCCCATGCTAGATCCAGTCTCTTAAGCCATTTGACTCTACCTTCCAGATATATTTTCTTTTGAACTACTTTCCTGTATCTACTGCCAGTATCTAAGCTACCATCAGTTTCTACCTGGATTATTGCAATCGCTTAATAATGGTCTCTCTCCTTTTCTTTTGTCCTCCTGTAGTCTATTCTGCTCTGCTGCTAGAGTGCTAGAGTGATATGTCTAAAACAAATCAAATCACTCCTCAGATACTTTTCATTGTCTTTATATAGTTGCTATAAAAATCTAGACTTTTTATGCTAGCCTGTAAGGCCGTGTACAATCTGACCTGTGGCTGTATCTGTAATTTCCATCTTCTATAATATTTCTCCTTGTTCATTCAATTCTAGTTTCTCTGGCCTTTTTGCTGGTTTTGGTGGCTAGTACATTCTCATCTAGGACATTGGTATTTACTGCTTCCTTTGCTTAAAGTGGTCTTCTTCCAGATATTACTGTAATTTGTTGTCTCAT